GGTCTGCTGTGTTCATCCAGCTCTGCACCTTGTTGTCTCAGAAAAATTACTTGTTGCTTTTCATCTGCCCCAATATCATTTGCCAGGGAAAAATATTACATTCTTTCTACGTACTGGGCCCAATCTTCGATAGCAGGATCGAATAAGCCAAGCTTCCAAATAAAGACATGATGCCAATAATCCTTACCCCAACTCAAAGATGACCATTATGGGCAAATTTTCTTAAGGCAGTTACTGTTTTCTTCTGTCACCACTGAAATAACTGCACAGAGGCCAGTGTCTCATCACCAAGTCACCTTTTATTTACATGCACACAGTGCATGGGCTCTAACCAGCCAGTCCGTAGACTGAGAAGATCTTCTGAATCTCCTTTTTATATCTGTCAGCCAGGGCTCCCTGATTGGCCCAAGTTAACAACCCCAATCGAGGATCTCAGTCAGAGATCCACTTGGCCCTGGTTCCAATCACTACTCTGTCCAAAAGCTTCCTTCCAACACACATTCCTACCTAGCTTTGTATTGTCTATAAATTTAGAAATATTTTATCCCAACCTCCAAACCATTGCCATAGATTGTGAACAGCTGGGACCCAAGCACTGATCCTTATGGTACTCCAGTAGTCATAGCTTCCAAGACAAGAATGACCCATTTATTCCAGTACTGTGGTTTTAAGCCAATCCTTAATTCATGCCAGAACATTACCTACATTTACCCACGTGCTCCTTTTCTTTTTTAAACCAGCTTCCTTTTACGGTAGTTTAATCAAAGCCTTCTTAATATTAGAGTATACAATGTCCATCGCCTCTACATCTATCAATTTTGAGTGTGACATCTTCAAAAAATATCTCCAAGCTTGTCAAACAGGATTCCTATTCACAAACCCATGCTGACTGTCCCCAGTTGTTCTCCAGATGTCCATTCATCCCATCCGTTATAATAGATTATCATTCCATATTCTGAGCAATTTGGCACAATAATCACCAAAGCATTGACTATCTTTATAGCCACCACCTTCAGCACTCTTGGATGTAGACAATCAGGTCCTGGGGATTTATCAGCTTTCAGCCCCATTAATTTCTCATGTAAACCTTATTATTAATGCTAATTTCCTTTAACTTCTCATTGTCCTTAGCCTCATGGTGACCATGTAACCACTGTCGATTATTTTAAAAACCCATCGGATTCACTGACATTCTACAAGAAAAGCAATCTACGATCATTACCCAGACTGGTCTATGTGACTCCAGACGTAACGGGTTTGACTCTTTACTGCCCCTGGACAATTAGAGATGGACTGTAAGTGCTTGCCAAGCCTGCAGCGCCATTATGCCATAAACAAGTTTGAGAAAAAAAAACGCTTGTGCCTGGGAAACAAACTCCGTGACTATCTGACCTGGGATTTTTTGATGACGTTCTGTTCCCTCTCTGGTAGAGTTAAAAGATCCCCTGCTCAGTATTTGAAGAACAGCAGGACAGGCCCCTATTTATCCTTCAATCAGTATCACAAAAACAAAAAAAAACCCTGTTTGTTTTTACATTTGTTTGTGGGATCTTGCTGCGTGTGAATTTGAGCTCTCTCTCTCTCCCTCCTATGCTACAGTAACTACACCTCAGAAGCACTTAATTGGCTGCACAGACCTTAGGAATGTACTGAGGTCACAGAATGCACTTTCCTTGAGAAAGCCTCTTTACTTTTCCTTCCCTAGACCTATCACCCTGTGTTTACTTTCCCCTTGTTGACCGATTCCTGCAGAGGGATTATACTAAACATCTACAAACAAAATTCCACAGCCATGAAAAACATCATGAATAGTTTTATTTTGCACTTTTAGACTTTGGATTATTTTGCATTAAAGAAAATAAATGGTTCAAAGGAAATTTTAGACCAATATTCTGATCTAGGAGCTGACAGTTCAGATTATTCTGGCCATGTGGGGGATTTGGCTGGGGGTGTTGTCAGGCTGCAATCATATCACTATCAGGAGGTTCCAGTCACACAGTGAATGGCAGGACTCTGTCCAGTGGGTGCCTCAGCATTACAATTTGTGACAGGTCTAAATTTATCCTGAGGTGCAATAAGTAAGTAATTTTTAATCTTTAAACAATTTGTTTAAAAAGACTGACCCTGTATACACCTCCTGTCATATCTATAATAGAAACTGTATGTCACATAATTACACGCTCCTGCCAGAAGTGGAACATTGGAACAAGAGTAGGCCATTCAGCCCCTCAAGCCCTGTTCCACTATTCAGTGATATCATGGCTTATCTGCGGCCTAACTTCATTCATCTGCCTTTGGCTCATATCCTCTAATGTTTTCTTAAACAAAAACTCTCAAATTTAAAATTAACTGACCCAGCATTACTGCCATTTGTGGAAGATTTCCAAATATCTACCATCCTTTGTGTATAGGTGTGTTTACTAACATCTCTCCTGAATGGTCTGGCCATAATTTTCAGACAATGCCCCCAGTCTGAGAATCCCCAACCAGCAGAAATAGTTTATCTTTATCTCCCTGTCTTTTCCTGTTAATGTCTTGAAGACTTTGATCAGATCACTCTTTAATCATCTAAATTCTTGAGGAAGCAGGTCTAATTTGTGTAATCTCTCCTCATAACTTAACCCCTGAAGTCCAGGTATCATTCTCAATGAATCTTCATTGTACCGTCTCCAAGGCCGGTGTATCCTTCCTAACAAAAACAGAAGTAGCTGGAAAAGCTCAGCAGGTCTGGTAGCATTGGTGAAGGAAAAAAAAACAGCTAATATTTCAGGTCTGGTGACCCATCCTCAAACCCTAAACATTAACTCTGACTTTTTTTCTTCAGCAATGCTGCCAGAGCTGCTGAGCTTTTCCAGCAACTTCTGTATTTGTTTCTGATTTATAGCATCTGCAGTTCTTTCAGTTTTTATTTAGTATCCTTCCTAAGGTGTGGTGCCCAGCTCTGCTCACAGAACTGCCAGTCTGATCTAACCAGGGTTTTGTATAACTACAGCGCAACTTTTGCAGTCTTATACTCCAGTCCTCTCAATATAAAGGCCAGCATTCCATTAGATTTCTTGATTATTTTCTGCACCTGTTCACAACATGTTAAAGATTTATGCACCTGAACTTCTAGATCTCTTTGGACATGGATTGTATTTAACTTCATACATTTAGAAAGTTCCCTGACCTATTTTTTCTTGGTCCTCATATTTGCTAACATCAAACTCCATCTGCAAAGTTTTGCCCCTTCAAAGTATGCCAATATCCCTTTGTAATTTTATGCTATCATCAACATTGTCTAGAATGCCATCTCACTTTGTGTCATCAGCAAGTTTGGATATGTACCTTTCTGCATCATTATCTAAGTCATTAATAAATAATATGAATAATTGAGACCCTAACTCAGATCCCATTATGCCAACTTTCTGTTACTTGCCACCTCATACCTGTTGGGGGAAAAAAAAAGTTAAGGCTTCTCCAATGCAAAAATTCAGGATCCCTCTATTTGGCTCCCTTCAAGTCACACCCTCCTGTCCCAGACCACTGGCTAAATTTGAAGTACTTAACCTGGTGGAGGTTCAACTTAGCAGTTACTTACCACCAATGATCTCAAAACTTTTCCTGTGATAGCACTGTTTTTGATTACCTCAGTCTCCTCCCCCATTTGTTCCTCTTTCCCCATATTCCCTAAGACCATTATTTTGGTGAGTACTTGGGTCTTGAAAAATCAATGCGAGAAGAGGAGGGACTGATCACCTTCTCCTTTTTACACCTGACTCCAGTTACACTATCATGCAATGAAGCAGCACTGAACAAGGTCTCCCTTTATGTTCCCTCATTCAAAATCTTCTCAAATCGCTTGTTTAATTAACTAGTTTCAGCTGAGTACCTTTAAATTCCTATTTTAAAGGGGCAATAAAACTACATTCTATTCAAAAGAAAACTTTCAGTTAATTTCTCAAGTAAAGAACATACCACAGTTTAGATTGAAATTAGCCCTTACATCAAATTAAGCTGTTCCTTAGTTCTATAAAACTTAACTGCCAATGTAGCAGCTCAAATTTGCTGCTGTCACGTAGACAACACTTTCCAATCTGCTGCAAGTTTCACTCTTTGATATGAGTAAAATAAATTCAGATTATTAATTAAAAGGACTCGTAATTTGAAAATAGGAACTGAATTATTTTCTTTTCCAACCATTGCCCTTCTGCCCACTGTTCTCCCTAACGCAATGATGTTTGTTGAATAAAAGATTCGTGATTCTTGTTCACACTCCTGTATATGGTGGGGGAGGGGAGGGGAGGTGGTCTCCCAAAGTATTCCAGAAATCAGGATCCAGTATGGTGCTGTAACCCTGTATGTCCACAGTCACTGTCCCCCTCTAATCTCTTATCCTTTGTCTTCAGGTACCTCCAGGGGTCAGTGGACAGGCGCACTTAAAGGTTTGGGGCAATCGATATCTCGTTGACAATGGATACATCTTCCATAATTTCACAACTGTTACCATTGACTCCAAGGGATCTTCAGTATTCATTCAGACAGACAAACCAGTCTACAAACCCAAACAGAAAGGTACAGCTGACTTCACCTGCTTGTAGATTCTGCACTATTTTGCCAGATTAGCATGTCACCCAGTATTAATTACGGAGTTATGACACACATTACTCAAAATGAATCCTTAGTAATCCTTTTATCTCTGTCAGAAACATTGGGAGTAAGACTCCCTCTAGCTGATGCACATTCAAGGTATCAGTGCTGAGGGAGTGCCGCACTGTCGGAGGGTCAGTGCTGAGGGAGTGCCGCACTGTCGGAGGGTCAGTGCTGAGGGAGTGCCGCACTGTCGGAGGGTCTGTGCTGAGGGAGTGCCGCACTGTCGGAGGGTCAGTGCTGAGGGAGTGCCGCACTGTCGGAGGGTCAGTGCTGAGGGAGTGCCGCACTGTCGGAGGGTCAGTGCAGAGGGAGTGCCGCACTGTCGGAGAGTCAGTGCTGAGGGAGTGCTGCACTGTTGGAGCTTTATCTTTCAAACAAGGTCTTAAACTGATCATCTGTTTGTTCAGACTGTGTCCTTGAAGCTCCAGTTGCAGGAGCTCCCTAGCTGTACAAATATTGGTCTTGCCTTCTCTTGCTTTGTTCATGATGTGGAAATGCTGCTGTTGGACTCGTTGGACAAGGTTGAAAATCATACGACACCAGGTTATAGTCCAACAAGTTTATTTGAAGACACAAGCTT